GTCAAAAAGGCCTCAAAAGCCAAACCCGCGGCTAAGAAGACCCCCAAAAAGGCCCCCAAAGCCAAGACACCCAAAAAGGCTTAAACACTGACTAAGTGTTGAACAAACGGCTCTTTTCAGAGCCAATCAATTAATGCTAAAAAGTGACTGAATTTTAACATATCTTTTATTTGACTCGATGTCTGTCTTATTCTTTAGCGTGAGTTCATTAAAGGTACCGACGATTGGCAGCACTTGTTTCGTATTAGATGGTGGTATAGGTTATGCTGTGTTATAGTTAAGACCAATGAGTGGTCGCAACCAATGGTTATGTGTTTCATACATAATAAGAGCCCAACTATTGGGCACTTATAGCACAACATAATTAATGCATTCATTCATAATATATGGTTGGATAAGAGTATAGGCAATGCATTCAATGAACTGCCTGTAAGTGGTTATCAATTATCATAATTTATGCCATTTTTTAATAAATATTTTTTGTTTTTAATTTACTATTTCTATATAATATAGTCTATTATACTTGTAATCATTTCACTGATTGTTAGGTAATTTATCTTTGATTAAAAGTTTGAATTTAGTATAATATATTGTAAATTGCTTATAAATGAGCTAAAAGACTGTGAAATGCCATCAAAGTATCTAAAACTATTAGTAGACTTCTTATACGATAGAAAACAATTAGTTAAATACCGAAACACTTTATCTGGGTACTTTGAGGTAATCTCAGGCCTTGTACAAGGTGGAAAGCTATCACCATTATTATTCATATTATATACCAGGACATTGATTAACAGTATATTTCATTCACAAATAAAACAATATGCTGATGATCTTGTGGTATATAAACTTATATACAGTAAAACCGATACAGAATTACTACAATCAGATCTAAATAATATATTTGATTGGAGTAACAAATATAACTTACAGCTAAATCCCTCCAAATCAGTTCACATGAGGTTTAATCTTAAAACTACATTAGATTTACCTCAATATACAATTAACGACACAATAATACCAAATAACAATATACACAAGCATTTAGGCCTAATTCTAGACAATAGATTGAATTTTAATGAAAATACTGAATATGTTTATAAAAATTCAATTAAAAAATGGACTATTATTAGAAAAATATGCCCATTTGCTGATTATAAAATGCTTTTAAGATTATATAAGGTATATATTATACCTATCATTGATTATTGTCTACATGTTTGGGCCCCAAACTCTAGCCAAAAATCCCGTATTGAATCTATACAAAGAAATATTACGAAACAAATCTGTTTTAAAGCAAATAAAATACATTATAATTATAATCAAAGGTTAGAATTTTTAGCACTTTTGCCAATCAGTATAAGAAATGACTTAAAAATACTCAAAATTATATACAATTCAGTAAATAATAGTGTATTTGTGTCACAAAACTGGAAACAAATGTTTAGATTACGTGAGACAAGAGATGGACCACAAATGATACCGATTTATACACGGATTTACTTGTGTGACAAAAATATGTTCATTTATGGTATAAATTTATACAATTCATTGCCGTCTTCGGTCAGATCTAAATATTTTGAAAAAAACTTTATAACTATTTGTGAAAAGTATTTAATGGATAACTTTTTGTCAAATTAATTGTAAAATACTAACAATTTATTGTAAATTAATCGACGAGTTTTGATTAAATAAACTATTTATTATTATTTATTATTATTGTACAATAGATTGATTTGAGTGGTAAATTAAACATTGTGAACACTATTTGCACAGTCAATCACAATATGTTAAATGTGCACAAAATAATGTATATTCCTTATGGCCGTCACTTGTGAGGACAAATCGGACCATCAGTTTGGCCACAAGTAGTGGAAATATATGTACAAATTGTCGCATAAAAGTGATGTATGAAAATGGGGTACAAATTAAGTGATCAATTGAATGGCCATTTGGTCGGTATTATTGGACAGACCCTCACATATGAACACGTGATTGGTTTGTATGAGTCGTCGGTCGAGACGTAAATGACGTGAAAACATGTGATTTGAATGTTTTGCTCGTATTTTGAAGGTCTGTTCAAAACAGTAATCAGTGATTACTAATCACTTTACACTTAATTAGAGTTAAGAGTAATTAGTATTGCATTTGATTTCAAACGTTTCATCGATTGGTAAATGAAGTGTTGTTTTGATGTAATATTGCTATGAATTGCTTGTTATGGAAACAAAAGACTCTTCAAACCAGAAAGTATTGCCCAATGAATGCAGTGATGAGTGTCTAATGTCTTGTTATTGTGACAGTTGTCGCACTCGGAGAGAGTGATCACATCACTGATGGCGGGCGCGACGGCGGGAGCGTTGGCCAAGACTGTGATCGCGCCGTTGGACAGGACCAAGATCAATTTCCAGACTCAGAAAGCGTCCTTCAACTTCACACAAGCCTTCAATTTTCTGGTCAACACTTACAAGAAGTCGGGTCTCAGGAGTCTCTGGAGAGGCAACTCTGCGACTATGGTTCGGGTGATGCCATACGCGGCCATTCAGTACTCCAGTCACGAACAGTTCAAACACCTCTTGAGAGTGGAAACCAATGCACAGAAGTTTGTATCTAATTATCTCATTATCTCTAAGCCATCACTCAATACGGTTGTGTCCATTGCGTACAGACGTGAACATCCGGCCCGCAGTTTCATAGCCGGCTCTTTGGCTGGTGTGGTGTCGACGACAGCCACCTATCCATTAGACTTAGCCCGCGCTCGGATGGCTGTCACCCATAAAGAGCAATACAGAGATCTGTCGGCCGTCTTCATGAAGATTATAAGGGAAGAGAAGTTCTGGCGTTTGTACAGAGGATTTGTTCCCACAATTATTGGTGTCATTCCTTATTCTGGTTTTGGTTTCTTTACTTACGAAACGCTCAAAAGGATTCACTCGGGTTTGCATTTCTCTCATCACTTATTTGACAATTAAATTGTTTTTGTTTGTAAATGTGTTCAGAAATCTACGTAAACAGTGAACCAAACCCTTTGGAAAGGCTAGCATTTGGCGCGACCGCCGGACTCTTCGGTCAGACGGCTTCGTATCCCTTAGATATAGTGAGACGACGAATGCAAACACATTCAGAGTATAAGACAATTATGGGAACAATGAAGAAGGTTGTGGCCGAAGAGGGACTAATCCACGGCATGTACAAAGGTCTGAGCCTTAATTGGGTTAAGGGTCCCATCGCTGTTGGCATTAGTTTTACAACATTTGATTTATTTAATACATATTTACGCAAATTATCCATTTATATGAACAGTTGATTTTATACTCATTTCTAGTCTTAAATAAATTTTAAATCTCTTGCATTGTTTGAAATGTTTTACCTCTCATATAGTTTTTAATGAATAAAGAAAATTTGTTTTTATCTGTTGTTTATAATAATAAAATAAAGTAATTATTAAAAATAACTCAAAGTATTTTACTTAATCTCGTGAACAGAGTCCTAATATAGCGTACAGTAAATCGACCTTCACGTCAATTATTTGGTTATAAATAATAAGTTAAAGTTTAACAGAAATCACTGCTTAATGCAAACATTTGAGTGCATTTACACACATTTTTCCTCACAATAAATCCTATATTTATTTAATCATTGAATATAAACTTAATTTTAATTTCAACATCGCTTTACAACAAACAACTCGACAATTATTGTATGAAATGATATTATTTATAAATAATTCATTTGTACATATTTGATTAGAATTGCATATATTTAGTTAATAACTATTTTTATAACTGCTTATTATCATAAATGCAAGTGAATTTTAATGTTAATTTTAAAATTATAATTTATCTAGTTATATTTTAACATTTTAATAGCATTTGAGTTTTAGTATTTTTGGGATATTTTTCATAACTCTATTAAAACATTTAATTTTATATTTGTTAGTTTTATAGTTATATAAGTTTATATATTTAATTTGAGTTACTGTTAAAATTAATTTAAAATTCAATATATATTGCATAGCATTGAATGACAAACAGATTATCAACAAATAGAGAGTGAATCAGATCTGAGGACATCCTCCGGGAGTGGTATATATTGTCTTCAAAGAGCGCACGCTTTGTAAGTGACGGCACAGACATGTGTTTGAGTGTTGTTTACGTGTCATTACAGACACATATCATAAACACCAGCCATGGATGTGATCCGACAGATGAGTTGCGAAGAGCAAGAAATCCAACAATTCTTCACTGAACTCAAAGAACCCCATAATTTGGATGTCATTCGCGAAGACGTTAAACAATTCTGTAATCATAACAGCAATGAAAAGATTGTATTGATTACGGTATTTATCAATTGATACCTTCACTTAATTTGATTAATGAATGTCTAATATAATGATGTGATAGTCTGGAGGAACAACTGTTCCCTTCGAACAAAACACCGTTCGCTTTGTCGACAACTTCTCCGCTGGAACTCGTGGTTCCGCTTCTGCTGAGTATGTCTTTGCCATTCAATTCAATGCATTTATCATTACATGTGTTGTAATCATGTTGTAATCACTTTATTGTCGTTTGTATTTATATTAATATTAATTTTATGGGAATATTATATACTGTATATAATTTTATTTTACATAAAAAATTTCCTTTGATTAAAAACAAGGAAATTTTTAAATTACAATATTTGATAAAAATTATTTTTCAGGTACTTTTTGCAAAATGGTTATTGTGTTATATTTTTATATCGGGTTAAGTCTTTGGAACCATTTATAAGACATTTAAATGCAATGGAATTCTTGTCCTCTCTTGAGATAAATGTTGAAAAAGAAATTAAAGGTATATTTTGGTATTTGTCAACCTGGGCAATCTTAATTATTGTTTAATTATTCTTGTATTTGTTTACATCATTCCTTTAAGTGTCGACCAAAACGTCCGAAAAATTGCTGCCAATTCTGAATCTGTTCAACAAAAGCAAAGACCGATTGCTAAGCATTACTTTCACCACTTTAGACGAGTATTTGTTTCTTTTGAGAGAAATAGCGTTAATCTTGGAGAAGAAGGGCGTGAATGGCATGTTATACTTGGCCGCCGCTGTTTCCGACTTCTATATTCCAACCGCTAATAAAGTATGCAATCAATTCAGATTTATTGTCATTAATAGATCAATCATTTTTATATAGTTACTAACAATCGTTATTTTAGTATTTTTACAATAATTCAATTTATAACTAATTTATCTAAAGGCAGTCCATAAGATCCAGTCAAGTGAAGGGCCGCTTAGGATCCACTTTGAAATCGTACCAAAGATAATGAGACCTCTCGTCAAGTTTTGGGCACCAAATACTTATATCATATCATTTAAAGTGAGAATATTTTGATGTCTCAATAAAATGCTTTATTTTCTAATTGAATTTGTGATTATAGTTAGAAACGGATGAAACTATTTTACTTGAAAAGGCCCGCAAAGCACTTAACAGATTTGGCCACAAGTTAGTGATCGCCAATGAATTGAATTCCAGGAAAAATAAAGTAACCCTCGTTTCGGACAACGATCACCAATTGATCACTGTTTCCAATGAAGACAACATTGAAATCGAAAAATTGATTGTCGAAGAAGTGATTAAAAGACATGACAATTATATTAAAAATTTTGTTCAATGAATACTTACGATTTGTATTAGATATGTATCGTTAGATTTGTATACATTTGGATAACTTTATACTAATTTTATAATCAATACTAAATTGAAATATAAACTATTTTTATATTGAGATCTCTATTGGGGTTGTGATTAGTATTTGAGATAATTAGAGCTATTGATTACCGTAAGAGTAGAGACAATTATGACAGCAATTGAGTTGAGTGTCAAACATATACTGTTTTTAAATTATTTTAATCTCTAATTAAAATTGTTGTAATAGTGAACCCAAAAACACTTATACTGATACTATAACTACAAATTGGGTACTTTTTAGTGCATATTTTAATTTTGAGGCATATTTTGTCTAAAAATAATAAATAAGTAAATGTTTTTTTTATCGTTTGTAATTAAATTGATTTTATATTTAATTAATAAAATAATTTATTATTAAAATTTTTAAGAAATTAATGAAAGCATAATAGGATTAAAGAAAACATTTCCTAAAATAGAGTCAACAGTAAAAGGATTTCCAAATAATAGTGTTTTGAGGACAAAATGAGAACATGTTATGTACCCTAAAGTCCTGACAATAGCGCAGATCATTTAACTAGTTACTTAAACTAGTATTTAACTAATATTTAACTAGTTAAACTAGTATTTAAACAGTTACTAAATAATAAATATTTTAAATATTAACATTTAAGGATTTAAATCAGTTAAGGCTCATATCGTACCTCGTGTTGTATTTATCATTAGTTAATTCAGCAAATATTTTCTCTTCCGATCATTTTCTAAAAAGTATACTGTATTATAAAAAATTTTAAATATCTATGTAAAGTATGAATTTTCTGTTAACTCTATTTAAAATGGTATGACATAAATTATTTTTATAATACTTAAAATATATATTTAAATGTACTGTAGTAGTAAAATAGTATCACAAATGATCAAAAATTTGAATTTTTCAACAGGTAAGCTATACGTGGGATAATAGGGTTTTGCAACTTTAATAACTGGTTTGCAACTTATGATTGAGATTGAGTTAAGGACTCAACAACTCATGAAAAATGGCCACAAATTATTCCTTTACTACATTTAGATCTTATTTTCCGTACTTTTCTTCTAAAAAATTAATTAAAGTTAAAAATTAAGACAAATTCAACTCAATTCACAAAATGGATTACTTTATGGAAAGAAAATATCACAAGAATTATAATAAAACTATTTGTAAGTTATCTTAAATCTTCAACAAATGAAAAACATTTCAATTAATTACTGATTTTATTTTACATTTAATGTTAACAATAGGTTTAATAATATTGTTAATAATAATAATATTTATAACATGTTTGGTCTCCAATTCTCCGATAATGTCATTGATTTTTGTGGCCTTCTTCTTAAGCATTGGTGTTGTAATCGTACGGCTATTTTGCCCGCAATGTTATCCCCAAAAGAGGACAACTCTACCCCGATATCGGGTATCGGCCGACAACACGTCCCGACTGTCGTACACCGCCGTAACAATACTCCCGTCGGCGCCAACACTAAACATCACCTCTGATTTGCCCCCAAAATATGAACATATTTTTGTCGACAAACACTAATCATTTTAAATAATTGTAATTCTCTATAACCATGTTTATATTTTTAATATGATATACATTTTGTTACATTTATAAAATATTTAAAATTGTTTTTAAATGATTATATATTTAATATACGTTTAATTGATTTAAAATCTGATATTTAAATCTATTTAAAAGAGAGCTGCGTTTAAATGGTATAAAATATATTTTATATTTAATTCACACCATTTGTATGAAATGATCATTAATTGTAAATAATATTTATAATAAAATTAAAAATATTTTAAATATTAAAATATTTATAAAAATAATGTTTGTTTCATTCAACAACAAGCCTTTAAAATGCCCTTGTTCAACTTGTTTGTGTCCTTTACACATTAGAATAGCCAGAAGCTAAATGATCATGATCATTTGCTATTAATCTAATTCATCGACATTTAAAAACAATTTAATAAATATAAAACAATATTTATTATAATTTCCAAATAATACAAACAATTAAATGAAATGAAAGCAAACTTTATTAGAAACGAAGTGAACATCAATTGACGTCATTATTGGTGAATATAATAACAATTTGTTGTGTAATAAGCGATGATTTGTTATGAAATTTTTTACATTATTTACAGTATATTTCACACTATTTTGCAATCGTTTTGACATTAATTTCAATGATTTAATAATTGTTTGGATTTTGATTTGAATGTTAGGGAAATGGAGACAAACAGACACTCAAACAGTGATCACAAATCAAGTAATGANTAATTGATTGATTGTTTTGATTGAATGACAGAAACATTGGTTTATCTCTTAATTGTCTTCATTTTGACGATTGTTTTGCTGTATCTGACGAGAGGTGAAGACTTCGTCACATTCTTCCTCATCTTTGCCACTCTTATGATCATTTCATTTATGGTCTTATTTTGTGTCAAATGTTGTTGTCGTCGACGACTCACCTCTGGAGCCATTCTCAGCCCTCATCTGGTGGTCACTCAAGTGGTTCCCAACAGTGGACACAACGGACACAACCGTCACAATAGACATCACTCAATGCAGACCAACAATCATGTGGTCATCGCTCAGACCAGACCTCAAATGGTGTCACAAATGAGACAAAACACGACACCATTGATGTCATCGCCGCCGACAATGAACGGCACCGATGTCTTGGAGTCGACGGCATTCACGCCTTGCATACCCTCCGCTCCACCACTCGATGTCCAACACTTAAGTCACAATCAAACGCTTCCGACATATGAAGAGGCGATTCAATCCAAGTATTGAACGCTTTTGTCATTTAATATAAAATTATTTTAACAATTGTTTTACAAATCACTCAAATTTTTAATGAATCTCTTCTCTAAAGAAATGACAATTTTGTTGACATTTTGATTATAAATCAAAAATTAATTACAAATACTGCGGCCAAACATTATGATTGTTTTTTTTAATTGATTTTATGTTATATTATTTATTATTATTAATTAATTTAAAAAATATATTTCACAACACTATTGATATAATTGAAATTTTGTGATAAATACCAAGAGATAACAGAATATATTGTATTTTTATTATAATATTTGATAATTATTGTAATATTTATACCAATAGTAGTTGTTATTAATTAAAATTTGTAATTTTGTAAATGATTTGCAATAAAAATAGAAATTAACATAAAATAAGTTTTATATTCTTTGAGCTTACAGTACAGACTGTATAAACTGATTGTCAAAACAATCTGTAGATAATAACCTCTCGGGACTTCAATTTGATCTATTGATCTAATAATAAAATAATTATCAAATTAATTATTATTACCATTTAATTTTATTATAATCTTAAAATTGAATGTCATTTTCGAAATATTAGATTAAAAATAAATTGTTTTGCAAACATATTTGCGCACAGAATAACATTCATATAGATTTTGGCAAAATCTATAAATATTTACATTTCTATGACTTTGTTAAACAACTTTTAACAATATTAACGATTAGATTGAATGCATTAACTAATGATTACTTAACAGAAAATAATCGCGATTTAGAAATATGTCAAATATATTGTTGAAAGGGAACGGAATTTCCCGACTATTCATACGAAGGATGATTGGAGATTGAGGTCAACAAAAGTCTCGTTTTGAGACTTTATTAAAACAAGTTATTCAATGGTTCTCTCGTTCTCTCGTAAACTTAACGATCGTTTACTGCAAGCCATGGAATCCCCAAATCTATGTAAAACCCAAACGATAAAAATTATTTAACTTTTTTATTTCTAAAACTAAACTAAATGTCATTCACTAAAGTATAATAACACACTTTGTTTCGTATATTAATTAGTTTTTCTTGTTTATCAATCAAGAGTCGATTTCTTGGAAAATATCGTATTGTGTTTTACAAATATGTGTTTTGAATCTTTAAATAAACGTTATTAACAATATTAAATTTCAATACAGTTGATTTTTTGCTGTATTTTTCACGTTTAGGAAACGTTTCCTTTCGTTGTTTTTCTAAAGTTATCTCAAATCGCTACTTCTTCCTCTGTTCACTCAGGTAGTTATAATAGTAGTTTACATTAATGTGTTATTTAATTATACAAATCTTTTACCTATAGTTTACTTCATTTGGCAGTTGTGGCCGATATTGATACTCAAACGATGACAAATATCTGTCAGTTTGTGGTCAAAAACTTTGGACTCGTGGGAATCAATAGTCGCAATAATTTACTGCAAACTCCTTTACACATCGCTTCTTGCATTGGAAACCAAAATTTAGTCAAACTTTTGATGGATTTTGGCGCAGATATCAGTGCTGTCGACAGGAATATAGAAAATGCAATACATTTGGCCGTCAAATATGGGAACAGTAATTGTTTGGAAGCACTTGTGTCTAAATGTAGTGATAATAACGCTTTGAATGCATTAAATATCAATGGATTATCGCCTCTACATCTGTGTGTCGAATGTGGACACGAATCCGCTCACGACA